CTAAAAGTAGTTTATTCAGTAGCCATTTGTTTTCTGCAGGTAACAATTTCCCAGTTATTCGCAATTTGCAAAATGAAGAAACTTTTTTGGCAACGAATTTCGGGTATTTACATACAACGTGCTATTTTTTATTGCAAACACATTGCAGAATCGTATGCATAGGTTCTCGGTAAGAGAAATGCAGAAAAACTGAAACTGAAAAAAATGCTTCAGATAAATCCTCCCTCCCCATCTACAAGGAGTAGGGGATAGGAACTAATTTTACCCCTAACGTATGTATTTCACAAAGTAAATTGGCATTTTTAATCACTAAGGAATTAAATTTATTTTTAATTGCAATTCAAAAACGAATTTACAAATTACGAATACAAATTTACAAATGTCAGCCATGTCGTTACTTTGAAACTTAGACATCCAAGAACTAACTAAAGTAATCCCATAAGTCAATGCATACGCTGCATTAAAAAATGCACTTTATCCTATGGTGTATATACAATGTAACCACTCAGATTTAGGACACCCCTCTGTTTTTTGGAACACGTGATTTGAATGAATTTATTTTTTAAAATACAAGGTGTCCCGTTTCAATGTACCGCATAACCTTTTTAATTCGAGTTTTATAAAAAAAATATTTCGATCAAAAGTTATCAGGTTTCGAGGGGTCAAATTATGGTGACCTTGAATTTGACCCTGAAGTCAATTATCAAGGTCATTTCAAAGTCAACCTTGATTTCTTAAATATTTTCTTAATATTTTTATTACAGTTCCGTATGTATTTTTTCCGGCAGAATTCGAAACTGTAATAAAAATATGAGTTTCCATTTAAAAAATCAAGGTTGACCTTGGCGACCTTGATACTTGACTTTAAGGTTTATTTCAAGGTCATGGTAATTTGATCCCCCTGAAACCTGACAACTTTTGTGGAGAATATTTTTCACCATCCTGCTTATTTCTTGAGATAACAGCCTGAGAATTAAAAATGGCACAGTAAAAGTATAGCGCACTCTGGCGAGAGAACGAAGCATTTTCAAAAAATTGTTTCATACGAAAGTTACGTATTTTTTCCCGCAGAATACGAATCTGCAATAAAAAATATTGGTTTCTACTTAAAAAATCAAGGTTGACCTTGAAATAACCTTGATAATTGACTTCAAGGTGAAATTCAGGACCACCATAATTTGACCCACTCGAAACCTGATAACTTTTGTTCGAAATATAGACATGGTACATTAAAATGGGACACCTTGTATAGAGTGGCTTNCATTTCTTTTTTTTTTGTTTATTATAAGCCCCTTTACCATTTCCACTTATAAAAGTCCAGATAACAATTCTTTTTTTTTTCCCTAAATGAATTAATTTGATCGGTCTATAATACCCAAATTATTGTATAATACGACGAATTTTAGTACATACATATTTCCTCTTCAAGTGTTTAGTATAAATTTGCCAGTGCATTCTAAAATAAATTAAATCCACCTGAACTGCATTACATTAATAGAAACACTAGCGGTTCCAGGAAAAACATTGATAATGTAAATAATAACACCTGCATATTAAACAAATCGTTTCGCGGTTTATGTGTACTAGGAACAATTTGTTTATTTTACGCCTTTTAACTTTCCTGCAGTTTAATACACTGACGTTCCAATTTATATTACATCGTTTGATCCACTTCAAATGCTGCCAGGAGTGCCAGGTAATGACTAATGACTAGTTTGACGAGGTGAAATTTGATACATTAATCTTGAAAATTGATACATACAATTGTTTCGTCAAAAATGCAATTTCCATAATACCTTACATGTTTCCTGTTAGCGATAAAACAAAAATATAAAGTTACTCATTCTTACAAATATTTTTTATACGTGCCTACGGGCATACAAAAATTCTCTTGATTTCTAACATACATACATATAAATGAAAATGATTGAAATATACCAAAGAGTACCTATATTATTTACATATCAAAGTGTTAAAGTGTATCCTCATAATCCCAAATATGAGCAGTAATTGGAGTAGTTACTTACTATCGAAATAAATGAAATAGACCTCCGTGTTTGGAAACCGATATATTAAGAAAACGTAGGGGCAAACAAATTTGAAAATTGGACCATATAGCCTCACTATTACTCTATTGTGTGCTAAAATTTCAATTAGTTTCGTTATCCCAAATGGGATAACTAAAAAAATTTAGTTATTAATGAAAATTTTGAAAATAATCACGGTTTTCTGCCCACAAAATTGATACCTCTCACTTTTTGTTAATTGATAAAAAAAATTCCAAATTTTTACTGACGATAAGTCGAACTATTGTCTTTAGTACTGTGAAGGTCATTTGTCTCAAAAGCTCTTCTTCTTTTTTATTTTTAAGCAAAACAGAAGGGAGTGCTATCTCCATAAATATTACGTTCTTTAAAAAAAGAAAAAACTGACATAGGTAGTAAATAACTGTAAACAACAATCTGAAAAAATTTGTTAAAATAATAGTTATAAATATGATATTCTTAAAAACAGTATCGGAATGGTCAATTACATTCACGGTTCGATGCAGGGTTTACAGTATAGCCTTTATAAGAACCACGAGTTCACCCGTTCACAATTCTAGTCTCTTTCTGCGGATTTTTTCACGTAACCGTTGTAAAGCGCCTTAATAGTATACAGGGTGTTCCACGGTGACGAGACATTAGATATNTCTTTAAGTAGAGGAATTGAAATCTGTTCACATTGGTTAAAGTTTATAGAGGGCGCTAGCTGAAGCAGATTGAATGTGTTAAAAACGACATAACTTTTTTATACTTTAAGGTATCTCATCTTTGGTATCAAATTCTTATTTTCCAACTTTTCATACACAAAAAAGGTATACTAGCTGTCTCGCACCGTTTTCGAGATATTTGGCTTTGAAACTTCCAACGAAACTGGTCTGTTATAGGGATTTCCTTAAAAATAACACTGAAACTGATAATACCTACGGTGACGAAGATGGCAACGCAAACGTTGAAAATAAAGGTGGTGATGGCATAGAACCCTGTGACTGCTTGGACCCAGAAAAAGTATTGCACGTGTAAATTTTTTTTTTTTCAGACGTATTTCTATTTTCCAATGTATGGAAGCAATTTTTAAATATATGTACGTTGTTTCAATAAAAAATTTTATTGCACAAAACTCAACAAGTCCCTAATAAAATACTGCAAAACTTAGCAAGTCCATACTTTCTTACCAAAAATTCACATGTCCAAACCATTTTTTTAAGATAAAACCCAAACTAAAATTATAATGTTGATAAAAATTTGGTGATAAGTTGATTTCATTCCCATAAGCTTACTATGGAAAATGTATCGTTCTTTATAATCTCCTTGTATTTAATATAAATTATTTTATAATTTTCGTCAAATCAGTTACAAAGTTATAAGAAGGCAACGGTTGTGTCACTTTTTGTTTGAATAAAATTACATAAAAGAGAACCCGGCCTATAACCAACCCTAACATTCCCGATCTCTAATAATAATGTAAAATAGGAAGGGATAAATAAGGAACAAACATATAAATTCCTACCGAAAGGGAGTTTATACCCTGAAACTGAAGACAAAAGTCTATAAAGAGCATATTCTAAAAGACAAAACGATCGTCTGCTTGCAAACTATTAGTGCAAAGTGTGGAGTATACAAATAGGCAAAATCCAGTAGCCAAAATTATACAATATGTAGCTTTACAGTACTAACTGCATAAAGACAAGAGGCCATATTATTCATACACACCACAAACAATATGAGAGAAAATATTATGGATTATATTGGAACCTGACAAATCACAAACAAAACATTATGCATAACAGATCGAATATAACATTTGAAGATAAAAGAAATAAGATCACAGAAGCTTTAGTGCAGTAAAAATTTTTTAAACAGTTTCTCGGCATATCTCATCTCTGTAACGAAAATCCGAATATAAAATAATTCTAATTCTTTTGATAAAATAAACAAAAGACAATCGGAAATAAATCATAGGAATGTTTAAACTGTCTCTTAAATTTGTTTATTACCTAATCACTTTAAATGAGACTTTAGAGGATTGTTTTTTAAATTATGATCAGCAAAAAGTTCACAGAAGCCATAAATCTTGATTAATAACTTCTACTGCTTACAGATAATTAGCATGATGAAAATCAAAGTATGTACAGCCGAATATCGTCAACTATGCCTAAATCTCACAATTTTTTAACGATATTAAAAGAAAGATCCAAAAACTGAGCCCTGCAGGACACCTGAGGTAATATCAAAATTGTTACAAAAGAAATTATTACTATAATTTTTTTTGAGTACATCCGAAAAGATAAGAACTTTGTCATCAGAAAAACTGTAAAAGAACGGAATTTCTTTTTGTGTAAAAAATAAGCTACTGAATTTCGTCAAGAAATAATAAATTTATAAATAAATATCTCTGGGTATTTTTTGGGCATAATCTCTTTTTACCCAGATTAGTTCAATTAATTCAATTACTTACTTAATTAATTTTATATTTCGTGCTTTTAATTTTTCTTATTTCTTTCAACCGTATATAATTTACTGAATTTTGGAAATATAGAAGATCACTAAACTTAATTACCTGATATGGATGTATTAAAATTTATAACCATTTTTTCAGTAACAGCATCTTTACAAAATTATCTGTTATTAAACAATGTATAATTTATAGATTGTGTAGTAGCAACATACGCTCATTTTCTCACATAGCGCCTAGATTTTATACCTCAATTAAAAAACAATAACCATTATGGGATTTAGTTATTAGTTTGTTTAATTAACATATTTCTAGATCATCCCAGGAATAAAATGTCAAAAACAAACTCGCATCCAATTAGCATATCAATAAAATACGAAGTACGCAGTACCTATACCCAAAAACAAAAAAAATTAACGAACGGCCAATAGAGGCACACCACACGCTTAAATGTGTTTCAATTTTCCCGCTCGTATTACCTCAACCAGGTGTTTTAAGATCAAGTTACCTTAGCAGAACGAGATTCTCAGTTGTTTCGTGACCTTTCACTAAGATATCTAGATTTATTATAACAATTTCTTGAAAGAATGAACACTACGACAAGAAAATCTGTATCGCTGTAAGTCCTAAACTGTGTTTCGTCAAACTATAATATTCCCCACAAGCGACAAAAATGTAAGTACCTCTTGATATAATTATTCCTGTGATAATTGTTCGATAATTATTTTTTTCCGGACTGGCTGGCCGTATCAATTATTTATTATGTTTATAAATTTTTAATCTTATCAATGATTGGCTTCTAATGGACTTAATTGATTTTAATTCTCACTTAATTTATCACAGTCGCCCTCGTTTAATATTTTCTTCTAGAGTTCCTCTAATTTTTTTATAAGAGGTTGCGGATAAGACGGTGTGTTTTGTATGAATAAATGAAGGACAACTAGTTTATAGAGATGACAAAATTATTTACATTATTCAATAATTAATTAATTTTATAGTGGTTATATGTTTATTTGGCTTAGTAAATAACATTCGGAATGATTTTTACTGCCTGTTTAATATATACCAACGTTTTTAAATAAGGACTAAGAACACCATTCCATTTTTCTGAAAAAAACTAGCAACTACCTGTAGAACTAGTTGAGAGACATAAAAATAAAACGAGCTCAAGTTAGAATCCCAACTTTTATAAGTACTTGTTCATTTCTTGCTTTGTCTCAACCTACTTGATATAAAATTGACACTCCAAGACCATTACTGCAATATCCAAAAATTATTTCTTGGTTTCTTTAATTTTTGCAATTTGCTGGTATATATTCGGCACCGAACTGAGATACTTTCTAAATGATTTGTCACTTTCATTTTAACAAAAAAATATTGTATACTTATTATTAAATTTAGTATAAGCATTCAGTGTATATACCGGGTGTTTTTTTAACATGAAAGAATCAAATATCTCGAGAAATAAACTCCCTACGAAATAATCAAAATTTAATCATTTCGCGGAGGAAATACATTGGTGATAAAATTGGCCCCTCTCCCCCATCCCTTGTAGATGGGGAAGGGAATAACTTTGAAATCTTAAATAGGAACCCTCATTTTTTTTGCAGATTCGAATTATATGGCTAAAAGTATGTAAGATTTGTCTGAATCATTAATCTGTAATCGATTAAATTCAATTTTTTCAATTTCTCCTACTGAGTGCTTGATTAAATCTGCTTTCAATGAATGTGTTTTTTTTTTGTATTTTATTTTAAAAATACAATTTCCTTTGTTAAAAATAATTTCTATAAACATGTTTTATTATGTTCACATTTATCGTTAATTTTATTTATTGCTTTGTGTTTTTGTGGCTGCAAAAGCACAAAATAAACGTAGAAAAAAGAGATAACTTTAAGAAACAAGTAATTTTAATCAAACTCCCAGAAGGGAACAGAAAACTATGTTTACGTCGTTGTTTCTAGTTACGCTAAAAGTAGTTTATTCAGTAGCCATTTGTTTTCTGCAGGTAACAATTTCTTAGTTATGCGCAATTTGCAAAATGAAGAAACTTTTTTGGCAACGAATTTCGGGTATTTACATACAACGTGCTATTTTTTATTGCAAACACATTGCAGAATCGTATGCATAGGTTCTCGGTAAGAGAAATGCAGAAAAACTGAAACTGAAAAAAATGCTTCAGATAAATCCTCCCTCCCCATCTACAAGGAGTAGGGGATAGGAACTAATTTTACCCCTAACGTATGTATTTCACAAAGTAAATTGGCATTTTTAATCACTAAGGAATTAAATTTATTTTTAATTGCAATTCAAAAACGAATTTACAAATTACGAATACAAATTTACAAATGTCAGCCATGTCGTTACTTTGAAACTTAGACATCCAAGAACTAACTAAAGTAATCCCATAAGTCAATGCATACGCTGCATTAAAAAATGCACTTTATCCTATGGTGTATATACAATGTAACCACTCAGATTTAGGACACCCCTCTGTTTTTTGGAACACGTGATTTGAATGAATTTATTTTTTAAAATACAAGGTGTCCCGTTTCAATGTACCGCATAACCTTTTTAATTCGAGTTTTATAAAAAAAATATTTCGATCAAAAGTTATCAGGTTTCGAGGGGTCAAATTATGGTGACCTTGAATTTGACCCTGAAGTCAATTATCAAGGTCATTTCAAAGTCAACCTTGATTTCTTAAATATTTTCTTAATATTTTTATTACAGTTCCGTATGTATTTTTTCCGGCAGAATTCGAAACTGTAATAAAAATATGAGTTTCCATTTAAAAAATCAAGGTTGACCTTGGCGACCTTGATACTTGACTTTAAGGTTTATTTCAAGGTCATGGTAATTTGATCCCCCTGAAACCTGACAACTTTTGTGGAGAATATTTTTCACCATCCTGCTTATTTCTTGAGATAACAGCCTGAGAATTAAAAATGGCACAGTAAAAGTATAGCGCACTCTGGCGAGAGAACGAAGCATTTTCAAAAAATTGTTTCATACGAAAGTTACGTATTTTTTCCCGCAGAATACGAATCTGCAATAAAAAATATTGGTTTCTACTTAAAAAATCAAGGTTGACCTTGAAATAACCTTGATAATTGACTTCAAGGTGAAATTCAGGACCACCATAATTTGACCCCCTCGAAACCTGATAACTTTTGTTCGAAATATAGACATGGTACATTAAAATGGGACACCTTGTATAGAGTGGCTTTCTAGACGTATTTTTTAACCAATTACGATAATTCAGCTGGCTATGCATAGCCAGCTGCATTTTTTTAAAAAGATTTTTGATAAAATTAAGTATTATTAAAAATTTACTTGTCAGCATCACAAAAATGTCATCAATTAATAAACATTTTATTATACAACCTAAAATTATAATTTTTTAAAGGCCAGTTTTATAATAAACTAAAATGTACTTTGAATTTAATGGAATTTTAAAGCATTGTTATCAGCAAACTGTATTTTCAAGTTTAATTTGATTGTGAAATCAGTTTTTTTTCTGTTTAAATGATTATAAGGTTTTGAAAATTTTTGAGGACAAAAATTTTGCAAATTACAGACAAAAGGGTCAGTAATTGACTAATTTTCCATCTTCAGGAATTTTCCAAAGCCTCCTAAATGGAAACTTCATACATTTAAAACTTCAAGTCGGCATAAAAACAAATTAGTCTTCATTATAATCCGATGAAATTTGGAAAATAGGGAAGTGATGCTGATTATGGTATAGTCAGATTTTTAATAAAAAAAGAATCCTACTATATAAAATTTAAAATGCTTGGATGAGAAATGCTGTATTGTTAACCAGTTTCAAGTATGTAGTAATGTATTTCAATTCCTGAAGAATTAAACTTATTTTAATCCTTCTAGATTTTTTTTACAAATGAATACTTTAAATAAACAGATAGAATTATTGAATTGATTTCATTAAACGTCAATATGTTCACTTTTCTACAGCAATTCTTTTTAAATCAATTCTTCAGAAATATTTGATTATCTAAAAAATCCGTTCATGTGTGTTTTTTTTCCATCATCCATAATATTTGTAACAAATATGGTAAGCGGTTTGCTGTTTAAATATTTTGATTGCCACTTACATTCAATAAAATCGGCTCTCTAGACAATGAAACAGATTAAGCCATCGAAACCGGATGTGACAATGACCTAGATATTACAGTTTTAACAAGATTTCCGTGTTTTTTAACTCGTTTTTGAGAGATACACCGTTAAGAGATTAATTTATACAGTTCGAAATGGACGAAAACAAGTGTCGGAAATTTTTATAATTCAATCCCGCCCGCGTATTTAAAAACTTACAGCCGAGTAAGTTTTAAAACCGTGCTCGGTCATTGTTGCCTTTGTTACGAGGAATAAAAGCAAATCCCACCCACAAAGGCATTGTCGTATGTCTCAATACGAGAACAAATATTCTGTTTTGAAACGACGATGTTTATTTTTTAAAACAATTTACCCAATGGGCCTAGGTGTTAATAGATAAAAAGTACAATGGGCCTGGCATCGCTCCTAGCTCTGTATTTGTATGCACTCTTACGTTTTGTAAACATTTATTGTTTATTGATAAAATAAATTATTTAAATTTATTCCCTGAATGTGCGTGCGGACTGCTGGATTTCCGCGAAGACTTCTTGCAAAGCAAACATATTGAATAAGTGCAAACTATGTGTTCAATTTCAAGAAAAGTACATGCTGTATTCTATTAAAATATTCAATAAATCATTAAGGATTACGAATTTATATAAGATGGAAATACCTTTGTAAATAGATATTTATAACCCGATTTGATTCGATTTTTTTTGAAAAGTATAACTTAAAATGTGTTACGATACAGAACAGACACAATATGTTGTTTACAATAACAAAAAATTAAATGCCTACGAAGTAAGATATGTTGTACCACAGGGTTCAGTCTTGGGTCCTTTACTTTTTTAATTTATGTAAATAATCTACCTAATATTTTAAGTATACTTTTCGCAGATAATACCAGTGTTACTACAGCAAATCCAAATATATCTGTTTTTCTTAATCACATGTCTGTCGCAAACATTAACATACGACTGTTTTTTTTTAGTAATAAATGACTCTTAACATTTCCAACACTAAAACGATGATCTCCACATGTAAAAAATTTAAACAGTAAAGAATTTAAAACAAAAATTAAACATTCTTTATTAGATCGTGCTTTTTATAATTTAAATAAATTTTTGAATGCAAAATTTAATGATTTTCAAGACTAATTTGTGCTTTTTTAAATATTTTAAGATATAGTTCACCTTCCCTTTTAAACGGGGTGTTTCATAATTATGTGCAAATATTTCAAAAAGGTTTTTAGAAAGTAATTTTCAATACATTTTTTCGATTTGAGAAAATATTCAAATCTCAAAATGGCCGAAAATATTAGCTTTTATTTTGTTTTATTAAATTTTTAGTTCGTATTATATGCTTAGCTTTTCCTATTGATAAAAAAGAATTTTTGCAAAAAACATGTCAAAAATGACAATCGTTTTTGATAACTGTTTACTATGTTATGTGTTATCAGCAAGGAAAAATAATTTATTTTTTTGCTCGTAAACCATTAAGTATACGAAAAAATGGGAAGAATAAAAAAGTTTCTAAATGAAATGTAATAGGTATTAAAA